GGAAAAAAAAAGAAAACAGACTTGATTTTATTCTCAGTGAACTTCTTAATTAGAGTGAAGCTTGTTTTAAATGAATCCAACATTTAGGATCATTCGTATTTTTACTGTGTGGTGGTAATTGAGAAGTAAGGATAAAAATTGGTGTGCTCTTTAAAAAAAAAGGATCCAAGCTGTAATAAAAGACTCTTAATCCTTATTTCTTCACTGCCTTTTTGTTTAGGGCTTTTTTATTGTTTGGTTTGGGGTTTTTTTTGTTAAGCAAAAAACCCCAAACCAATCACTGTGTCCTCTGCCCCCAATACCAGAGAGAGGGCTACGTGCAGAGCAAAGCTAAGAAGGTGGCCACATTTAGGTGTGCAAATCTGAAGCCTATAAAAAAAGTTGCCCAGGAATTATTAAGAAAGTTTTTTTTTAAAAAAAAGATTAAAATAATACAATGTTGCCAAATTAAAAAGTCTTGAAGAACAGTGCTCATAGCTCTGCCTGGGAGTGCTCCATTTCCATAGTGTGTTTTTATCCAGTTGACCCTGCCTCTTTGGGGGACAGTATGTGAGAACAACTGCTGTTCCCCTGAGGGGAGCAGATCACACCCCTCCAGTGACTTGGCACTGCTGCTGGCTGGGTTTCCTGGGGGACAGAGAGGACACTGCAGCTGCTGCATTGTCAGAGCTTTCTGTCTGAGGAGAAAAACATGTATTTCACGAAAGCAAAACCTAAACACATTGAAGTTAATGGAAATTGCTCACTGTTTTTTTGTTTTGTTTTTAGTGGTTTTTTTGGTAATGGGGCAGTACAGTTTTTTTGGCACGTTTGGATTTCTTCTCCAATACAAAATTAGGATATGAACCACTTAACATCAGTCCCACAGGTCAGACAAGAACATTGGGTTCTGCCATGGACAGCTGTGTTCAACAAAAGTGCTCAGCTGGGTAATTACATTTTCACTGATACCAAAAGGACTTAAAAACAGTTGAAAAACTGTATGTGGGAATAAAAAAAAAAAAATCACAGATGAGGAAAGTGTGTTTTCAGCAAGCAATCTCACAAGTGACTTCTATCTAACTTGGTGCAAAAATTAGCAACAAAGCAGAGAAAAAGTCGTACAAGGAATACATAATTAAGAAATCTAATATTTCTTTAAAACATAAAGGGATGAATAAAACGTGAAGCGCGGTTATAGTCTGAAGAGTACAAAACATGGAAAACCTTACTCTATTCATTGTGTGTCTTGTTATTCTACTAAAATAAAAAACCCCAACTCTTTTAAGTTCAAGAGAATAAATAAGGGCGGGACGAAAGATCCAATGGATTGCCCTTTGTCTGTTCATCAGCATCCCCACACCACCATCCACTCCCACACTGGGATGCTATGATCCAGCAGCCAGAAAGCAATGCTTTTTAGATTGGATGCTGTAAGCTGAATGATCAGGCGAGAAACATGGGAAAAAAACAAACCAAAGAATTTTAAACTTTCAGCCTTGGAGCTGTCACATTTGCCAGGGAGCTGGAATGGAAGCCTAGAGCTGATTTCCAGCTACTTTTCTGATTATAACCACACTTACAAGCACTCACAAGCTCCTACTCTATGAGAAAAGGAGAGGGTCAAGAAGCAGCAACGAGCAGTTCCTCATGCTAACAACATCTCAAAAGCAGCTTTCAACAAGAAAAAACTAAAACATACCAGGCAGCATTCAGAGAAGGATTTTTTAGGAGGCCGTGCAGGAGGGGGAGGTCCCTGATCCCACTCCCAGAAGGCCATTGAGTTCTGGCGAAGCAAAAGCTCCTCCGATGGCTAAGAGGAGGCAGATAACCCAATGGCAGAACAGCCAGAAAGAAAGAGGAGACAAAGCAAAAGAAGCATGCATATGATCCACAGCCAGAAAAAAAGAATAAAGAAGAAAACAAAATATATGACAAAGTATAGAAAAGGCTCTGCTGAGATAGGCACATGAGGCAATCTTTAAAATATACTTGCAAAGCCACGTTAGCAAAAACAGCAACATGTACAAGTGCTATTTTGCTGTGTTTCCATGAAACATTGTTTGAAACTGTGGTTCAAGAGTCCACTCATCCACTTAGGTTTTTTCAGAGCACAAAAGCCAAAAACAGCCAACATCATTCAGCAGGCTTTACCACAAAACAGCATGAATTATTTTTGCTAGTGACATACAAAAGAAGCACAAGGACATCAGTGGAAAAATAAGGCAGAAAATATTTAATGAAGGATGAGAAACTGAAAAGATGGGAAAGAAATGTGTGTGTGGGACTGACATTTACAAGATGCATGGGAGTTTCCAAGCTCTAGGCATAAAAAGGCCCCAAGGTCTTAACCTTTCAAATGGACTTACTCATGTCAGGAATCTACATAAGAGAGAGAGGAAAAACAATTCCTTTAGAAAAAGAAAAGTCCTGCCTCCTTCTCTGCTACAGTGCTGACATTTATTCAAGGATGTGACTTTTGCAGAGACCTTCACCCTGCCCAGAGCTTGGCAGCTGCACCCAGGCAGGCACCAGGGCTCTGCTCCCTGCATGCAATTACACAACCAGGGTCTAAATCAGCAAACAAGCCATTTTCCTGACGTCAAAGGGGCTGTCTCATTCCAAAAGAATACAAGCATTTTATTTCTGTTCTGTGCTTTGAAGCTGTACAAGGTACACAGGCATCTGTGTCAAGCAGCGTCTAAACGAAATGGCTGCAGAGACCCATGGAAACCTTACGGTAGCAACAAAACTTTCCCAAGGAACACCACACCGTTTGTCTCACCTCCTGGATCACAAGGGCATGTCACCCACAGCTGATGCCACCTACCTCCCTCAGGTCGTTGTCCAGCCCGATGTGCTCCGAGTGCTGCCGCAGACGGTCCTTCCTCCGCTGCGCCGTGGTGCTGCGGCTGGCCCAGCGGCTGGGGAGTCAGACAGGAAGGGGAGACACACGTGAGCAGAAAGAATACCAGGAGGGAAAGCTGGGGTTGGGAGCCAGAGGACATCTGAGAGGTCTCCAGTGGGAAAAGTAAGGGTGCAAACTTGGAGATTGCTGGTGCATGACCTCCCCGTGGGAAAACGCCTGTGGGGTGACAGGCCAGTGAGCACTTGAGGGATGAAAGTCCTAATGGAAATGTGCCCACTGCCTGCCAGGGTCTGCAGTGAGAGCTCCTGTGTTACCCAAGTGCAGATCATTCCACCACCAGGAAAACCATTGCACTAAGCTACCCAACACTGCTCCTGTCTGATGCATTTGCTGAAGTTTGGTAAAAGTGGTGGCAGTAGGCACAAACAAAATACAATGAGGTATTTTAAGTAACAACTTCTAAAATTTTCCTCTTTTGTGAGGGTTGGTACTTTTCCTTGATCCACTTTCTGTGGTACTTCCAGGAATTATTTCAGAGAACCTTGTCATTGCAATAGTAATTACTGTGATAATGGATGCACCTACATTTAAAGGTTATAAATGATATTGACTTACTGGGATTAATCATGGTGCTATCTTCACCTTTTTTTTTTTTTTTTTTTTTTTTTTGCATTGGGTTTCTAAACACCACAAAACGTCTGTACTTTTTGCTATGTGTTCATGTATGTCTAGTTGAATTTTTTCCTCATCTGAAGCTGTTTCCTGAAAGCAGCCATTTGGTAACAACATTTGAAACTGAGCAAGCTTAAAGCCCTCAAGTGTCTGACCTCCTTTATGCCAGATACTATAACAAAACAAGGTAACTGTCCTGAGGAATTTCTAGCCTGATTGTAGGGTTTCTAAAAATATCATAGTGTTCTTTCAAATCCTTGAAAACAAAAATGTTCAACTGGTGCAGCGAATAAATAAGTTAATACATTATTTATAAAAAAGCTGACATAACACTGTATAAAACAACCTATGAAGCATTAAAAATAAGTATCTTAGTGCACATGAAGGCTACATCTTCAGAATGATATTAATTATTGTGGTTGTGTTTATTAAAGGTAAAAGTATCTTTTAAATACAGTATTAAATAAAAGTTTTTAAGTGGATAGCCTTTCAGTTGCCTCATGAAGCCATCTGTTTCTGAAAGAAAAAAAAAAAAAGGACCAAGAAAATAACACCCCACAATCTCCAGCCTCAGTAGTTGAGTCAAAGGCACCCTCCAAAACCTGTCTCCATCCTGGCCCTTCTACTCCAGAGAGAAATGTCCATGCTGGGCACCACGCCAGAACAACTGCTGTGACATGGCTGTTTCTACACGAGCTGTGATTGACAGGCAGAGCCCCTGGGGATTTGGGTCCTCTGCCTTTGATAGATCTCTGCAGAGGGAAACCTGGAGTGCCCACATCAAAGACAGAAGTGCATGCTTGGTGAGCCCCTCCACAACAGGTGGTTTTGGCAGGGATATCAGTCTCCAGATCCCAAACCCATCTTTTTCTGTGTGCACCCTAAACAGCAGAAATATACAAATAGGATCTGGGATCTAAACTGTTATGGGAAGGAGTTTCAGCTGGTGATATGTAGGCACATACATGTCTGGAGGCATAAACCCTTGCACAGAGCTGGACTTGGGTCCTGACATGCCCAGCAAACGCTCAGGGGTGCACAGGGCAGGGAACCTGGCCCAAGAGAAGTGCTGGGATGTGACCCCTGATAAGCAAACCCTCCTGCTTCCAAAGAGATAGACTTTGCATACATGTGCCTAACTATCTCCACTGAGGCAACCAAAGATCAAATTTTTACTATCTGCACAGAAAAAAAATGGAAAATGTTTACAAGAACTACACCTTTTATCATCCAATTGAAGTCCCTTCCTACCCCCCAAATAATGTCAAGAAAACAAGTACAAAGGAAGAAATAAACACCTGGGTCTGCATGCAATTATGGTTCAGCACCTCGCCATGCAATGTCACAGGAAATTTATTTCTAAAGCAATGTAGCCTCAAGTGTCTAGTAAGGCAACAAAACAGCATAATAGGTGTCTGCACAGCAATGACTGATACCTTCTCAGTGGAATACATTACTGACATAAGTGTCTTTGCACCTCCTCAGAAGTCTTAAAAATACACAGCCCATGAGTTTAATGAGTCACCACTTCTTTTTTTTTTTTTTTTTAAGAAGCAACATCCGAGGCCTCAGATGACTAAGAAGGGGGAAAAAAACCCCTACGTTTTAATAATCTCAACAAGCAGAAATGCAGCAGAAAAAGCACCCCATCGAAGAGAGGACAGCAAATGTAAAAGTGATTTTAGCTACCTGGCTCTGGAGACTTTCCCTAATACTGTAAGCTAGTACCACACTTACATTGCACACAAGAGAATGCAGATAATACATTGGAAAGTTACAGATCAGCTATTACCCACATAATATTCTTCTCCACCTGTGTTTCTGAAGTTACTGGAAGGTTTAAAAATTGCTACAAGTGTCCTATGAAGGAACATGTCTCACCAAAGGTGAAAGCAGAATGAAAGCCACAGAATAATTACATGTAATACATCATCATTAAAACATTTTCAGTTAATTCCAGCCTTGTACTCCATCTGGGAGAAGGCACAGATCATTCTCCACATAATTATTAAAGAAATATTTAAACATTTCCAGCATACAAACATAGAGATCAGTGGCCATTTATGAAAAAAGACTGCTGCTTATCAGCTGGACTGATTACTCAAGCAGAGAGCTGTGTGCCCCCTCTTTCCTGGCCTCTAAGCTAGGGAAGAGGGAGCTGCTGGGGCACTGGGTGAGGTCTCTGCATTTGGATGCTGCTCTGAATCTCTCCGGGACATTTTGTAAAGATCTAACAAGCAGATAAGCAGGATTAAGCAGCTAAATCTTTTAATGCCTTTTCTTTACTGGGCCACATAGAATTTCCCCCAAATAATGCTCCAGTATTGCAATAGCCTGACTCCTCCCACCCCCCTATCAGCAGAGATCATATTTTAAATTACTCTTCCTCTCCCTTTGGTCTCTCAAAGTGATTCTAAGAGTGAGTAAAAGCCCTCCCAAGTGGCCAAATAATGTCCCTTGTGTTGCCAAAATCCCTTGCAGGTGCCTCTCGTGGTCCTACTATCAGCTGCTGCCTTATTCACACCTCAGCCCTAGTGCTGCCAAAGCAGCAAGGAAAGCTGTGCTCATGTGAGCAAATGCCTGCTTGTTTCCAGCTCTTACTCTTGGGCCTTTTAGCAAAACCACTACTGCCCATGTCCCTGTGGAGCAGATGACAGAGGAGACTAAGTCCTTCTGGCTGGTCCCTACCTTGGGGGGATGAGCTCCAAGCCCCTGAGAGCACCCACAGCACTGCTGACCAGCCTAGATGCTGCTCAGGTACTACTCCCTGACCCTGACCTTTCTCCCCCTCTATTTGTTGCCTGTAGAGCCATGAGCATGGACTACTGGCATGTTTAATTTATTCCTCACAGTAAAGGCATTGCTACAAGCACCAAGTCTCTGGGGATGAAGCAGCTACAGCTCAGGCACTGTGATGCTGAGAGCCCAGGGATGAGCTGCCTATGTGGAGAAAGGATAAAAGGCTCATTTTGGTAGTCTGCCCATATCTAACTCCCACGTCCAAAGATGAATGCTCTTCACCTCCAGGGACTGCAAAAAAGTCCTGTTATTTCAGAGGAGGGACCAGGGAAGACTGTGCTCTATTCAGTATAGAGAAATGGAATAAAGACACCTCCAACTAAGACCCTTTTAACATGAAGACAGTGAAGTCAGTATTGTTTAATATCAGATTAGGTCAACAGGCACAGGAACAGGTTTGCAGAAGCTGGAGAAAATGTAAAGGTGACACTTGGAAAAGATGGTACTTAACCTGTGATGCTTCATTTCTGTAATAAAAATGGTAAGGTAGTTGGCATCAAAGCTGAGCTGTCAGACACCAACCAGGGAATACAGCAGCCTCACACCAGGGACTGACCATGTTGTACTGCAACCATACGTACATCTCTCTCTCCTCACAGAATTGTCATGGTTAGAAAAAACTTAAGATCACCACATTCAACCATCAATGCCCCCTCAGTCACCAGCCCACCCCCTCAAAAATAATAAAAAAAAATTAAAAAATGCCTGCTAGAGCATGTCCTGAAGTACCTCATCTACAGGATTTTAAAACCTTCATTTCCTTCCCACCCCCTTTTAAAGCTAGATGGAGAAGTGAAGAAATATCTACCTGAACCAGACATGGGTGAAACAAGCAAGATATATACTGTAATACTTGCAACATGCTGCTAGAGAACTAAATTCGCAGACTGATTCAACCAATATTGCAAGTCACTACCATAATTTACAATCTATTTACAATGATAACAGAGACAAGGAAGGAGACAAATGCACTTGGCTACAGGACAGAACTTAAATCTCCTCATATAGACATAAATCTTCTAATGCCGACAGGTATTTAGGTCTGTCACGATGGCAATACATCTTCTACCTGTGTACTTCCATCAGAGGAGCTATCTGACTGTGTTTCTGTATTCACAAATTAGCATGTTCTGTGCCTCAAACAAATCCTCCTAACACATGCAGGCAGCCTGCACACATTAAATACACACAGACTGGATTCGAAATAGTTAGTGTGGGACTACACAGAGAGTCCAAGTCAAACACATGTCAGAACGAATAAATTAAAGGGAAGGTCAAACCCAAGCTCCACTTGATCACAGATGGGCTGACAGAGGTTCTGTGCTCTGCATCTGCTCTGCACACACTCCTCCTCCATGGTAAGGAGGACAAAGGCTCAAATAGACACTAATGCACCTTTTACCACCTCTGCTGTAGGGCTGAAGAGGAAAGCTTTTAAACTGCTGATCAGGTGGACAAAAACAAGCAAAATGCCTTGCAGAGAGTGGTCTTACACTGACAGGCTGTCTTGTCAGATTACAGAAATACAAGTGATTGAAAAGAGTGGTACCCTCAACTGTCCTCCTCTGCAAGGAACAGTGGTAG